CAAATACACACTTACCGGTAACAGTGAAGCTTGTCACATGGCTTCTTTGAAGTGTGACGTCAACACTGGGTCAGTCTACTGAGGAAGACCAGAGTGACTGGTCGAAAGATCTAGGTGAGAAAATTTTTTGTGTTGGACCAAAAGTTTTGACTTTAAACATGTAACTACCAACACAGATGAACTTGCATGATATTAAGGAAAGGCAGTTTCTTACAAGCTACTCCTGAGGCTATTCCGTACAGCAGGCTCCCTCCCCCTGCTCGGTCGAAGCTGGCTGGACACATCTCTTGTGTGGTGAAGTTATACAGAAGCTGCCGAACTAAAAGTGGAGCTGCCTTGGCACTGTTGGGACAAAATTATTGTGAAAAAATTACAATCATGTTTACCGAAGGAGAACCTATTGTTTTTGCTCTGTTTCTTCCTCTTCTTCTTCTCCAAACAGTGACCTCTGACCTGACCAATAACATGATTTGTTGATGTCTGTCACCATGGTGACTGGTGTTGGGTTACATAATGTTGCAATTTCAAGGTCTGCTCTGCTCCTGTACTACTCCTGACTAAGAATAAACAGAACAGCAATTTCTAAATAAGGCTACACATGTACACCATACACAGCATTATGTATATGCTTTGCAAATGTTACCTTTCTAGTATTTCTGTTGTTACTGTACTATATAATGTTTTGTACCAGAAAACAAAAATCAGTCTCACCATTTTCCTTCTGCGAGATAATCATGAAGCACACTCTTGTACGCTGCACGAGCTACGAACATCTGAACTGACAGTAGGACTAGCAATGTGTTGATCGCCTCTAGATGTAGGAGGTAGGTGAAATTCCTGTAGAAAAAAAAAAAAGAAAATATTCAGCCTACAAATGATTGAAGTGTGACGTCAACACTGGGTCAAAGGTATCAGGGCCCACCACCCTTCACTTAACGTGACGGGGGCCAACATCATCTACCAGATACCTTTGACCCAGTGTTGACGTCACACTTCAAAGAAGCCACGTGACAAGCCTCACTGGGTCAGTCTACTGAGGAAGACCAGTGTGACTGGTCGAAAGCTCTAGGTGGGAGAATTTTTTGTGTTGGACCAAAAGTCTTAACTTTAAACATGTAACTACCAACACAGATGAACTTTCATGATAACATGATATTTGTTAGGAAAAATATAGAACTTACAGGACTGGGATCTGTAACAACAGCTGGATGATGGAAACGATGAGAGTCTCGGCCAGGGGAGCACTGCTTTCACTCGAGTTGCCAGGAGCTGGAGGTAAACAACAACAGTCAACAACGGAGAAAACAGCACCACAAAAATACTGTAAAACAACCGCAAATGCTTCCATAATTACAGTAACCCGAGCTATCACATTTCTACAAGTAAAATTAATTTGATACACAAATTGTCTGTCACCTTCCTCAGGGCAATTCTGACTGGTTCACATTGCATTGCAGCAATATACAATATTTACATATCTACACATATGCATGATTGGATTGGATTGGATTTGGGAATGCACCTGTAGCAGCGAAACCAGTGCTGCAGTGCAATGTAAACCAGTCAGAATTGCCCTGAGGAAGATGACAGACGGTCACCGAAACGTCGGCTGAATAAAAGACTTGGTTGTGTAAAAAGAGTCTCTTTACTCAGTGTCTTACCAACCTGATGAAACTATTCACGGAAGGCATAAATTCTGTTTCCTCACCTTTTTTCTGAGCTGCCGTCACAGTGAAGTGTTTCAGGACCTTCTCCTCGGACATGATCTCGATGAAATGTTTACACAAACAGCGGATGATAAACAAGGCGTTGTACGACTGCCACACAAACACGTTACTGTGGGGAAAACATCCGTAAATTAGTACAAAAACCTCATCGGATCTAGGAAAAAAATGTTGTGTTTCCTGATTCAGTCCTGAAAAAATTAGGGTCGGTAGGTAGGGATTATCTTTTTTTTTTACTTTGGCAATCTCTAACTAGTGATCCAACTTATAAAATACTCTTTAACCAAGCTTACCAAATTACTCTTAAGAGCTTGCATAAGCACACTGCTATTTTCAATGTAACAAAAGCTCTTAAACACCACTGAACCCTAAGCCTGATTTCTTCAGTCTGCAAAATTCCAGGTTGCTTAATTTTTCTTCTGCAATTAAAAATGTCTAGAGCTGCAAAATGCAGACTGCAACTGGGTATTTCTAACACTGTGAACTCTACTTAAACTTTATTTCCTTCTTGCTTTATGGTCTCACTTATACTTGCAGATAAAGTGTTTGTGTCTTGTTCCTTACTTCTCACACTGTGTAGATGTCTTAAGTTCTCCGGCTCTTCTGAGGAACACTCGGATCAGGGCACAGAAGTTCCCGGTCTGCGGGTTGTTCTCAACTGCAGGAAAAACAAACAGGACAATCAGAGACGGCAGACTTCACCCCATTTACCATGGAGGTTTGCAAGTAGGTCGAAGTACTTTTTTCTGCATACCTGTAACATTGAAAATTACCTGCACCAGACAAATTTCTGCACAACTCAGACTTTAGAAAGTATGGATCGCATTTTAACTATTGCCATTATTTCTTTTACACTTCATTATATCATAGGCAGTGCAATGTATCAAGTCAGAACAGCAAACCAAAATCTATATACACCTACATTGTATGTACAATTGTATATACATGTATAAACTATAAACCCAGTACATGGACCAGCGCAGGTTACATGTAGATGTACATGTAGGTGCGTACTGCAGGTACAAGTACACATCAGAAATACCTGCACAGCTTCAATTTTACTTGCACTAACCTAGCCTGGTTTACCAAACCTATTATGGCTCCCGAGTCCTACAGCCTCTTACGGAGAGGATGTAGGACTCGGGAGCCATAATAAGTTTGGTAACCATGCTAGCACTAACCTGCATATGCACATGCCTCACCTGACTAAACATTTAACAACTATACAACATTTCCATGCCTCTGAACTGTATCAGCACCCTTACCTAGCTGCCTGGCCTCTGCTGTACTGAGGGGTGTGGGCAGCGAGAAGGACAGCAACATGTATCAGCACCCTTACCTACTAATTTGCATATACGTTACCTCTTACCTACTAATTTGCATATACGTAACCTCTTACCTACTAATTTGCATATACATTACCTCTTACCTACTAATTTGCATATACGTTACCTCTTACCTACTAATTTGCATATACGTAACCTCTTACCTAGTGATTTACATATAGGCTTGGTGCTGTCCTCCAGCTGCCTGGCCTCTGCTGTACTGAGGGGTGTGGGCAGCGAGAAGGACAGCAACATGTTCCAGAAGGGGTCGTTGTCAGAGATTGGCTCCTTCCCCGCCAGCCTCAGTAGGTAGTCGTTGTTGGCCAGCTCTGTCATACTACTGCTGCCGACACCCATGGTGACTGCTAACAGTTGACAAAAATGCTGATTTTTAGGAAAAAATATGAACTTTTGTTGTCATATTTTCTTAAAGTCATTGTTGTCATATTTCCTTAAAGTCGTTGTTGTCATATTTTCTTAAGTTAAAGTCGTCATATTTTCTTAAAGTCGTTGTCATATTTTCTTAAAGTCGTTGTTGGCAAGCTCTGTCATGCTACTGCTGCTGACACCCACGCTGACTGTGGGGATAAAAATGCTCATTATGTTTACCTTTGCAGAAGGAAAACATCTTGTTTTTCCTCTGTTTCTTCTTCCTCATCTTCTTCTCCAAACAAATAAGGTCAATGACCTGAACCATCTATCTGCCACCATGGTAGCTAGTTTTGGGTTACGTCATGTTACAATTTTATAGCACTGGATTTAGACTCCTGTCACCGTTTATATGAATGTGTTTGAGTAAGAATTAACAGAGCAGACCATGCCTACCTGCCTACTACTACTAGTACTAGTACATGTACCTGCCCATGTGCCTAAACATTATGCATTTGCTTTGCCAATGGTACCTTTATAATTATAGTTTTCTTATACTGCCCCACATTAGTACATTTGCATTAGTAGTCATAATCATACTTTGAGTATTTAAAACAGTACACAAACAGGCACAGTAACAACCCTCTCTAGATGCAGGCAAAATAACATCTCATGTTATGATGAAAATAAAGATAGTCATCTTACCATAATAAAAATACAAATGAAGAGAATTTGCACATATCAAAAGTCATGGTGAAAATTTAGGAGCTGTTCAGTACTTAAGCTGGTGGCTTCAAACTTCGGAGTGACTTTCCAAATTTGTCATAACCAGTGTTTTTATATATTTTGACCTGCAAAATTATACAAATTTATAAAAGTTTGAAGGTTTGGGGTTCTCTTTGCTTGTGGACATTGAAATTCTAAAAAGGTTAAAACACTTCAAATTTTCAGAGCGTAATCTACAGCATAAAGTACTTTTTACTGTAAAATGCCTCAAGTTCGTATCTGGCCAAGTTTACACAACATAGTTGACACATGACACTGGCCTAGCTATAATTTTTCCACTTCGAAAAATTTGCTCCGAAACCAGGCGACAATTATGATCAAGACAGCCTATTTTGGTGATTTCTTTTACACTCTATGGGCCTATACATGTTCAATACATTACCTAATGTTAGACTTACCTGAAATATGCGCTTGTTTTCGCAAAAATCGGTCACAAAAACGACTAAAGATGATTTCTCTGGTTTCTAGACGGACATGTTCGATTTGACACGTCAAAATTGATTTACTTCCGGGTTGGGTCAAAGGTTAAAAAATCTGCCAACTCTCGCGAGACCTGGTGACGAGACCTGCGCGATCTCGCTGCGCAGTTGAAAATCTTCCTTTTTTCTAGGAAAGACATTTGGACAACGTGTTCCTAAATTTCGACTAGTTTTTAGCCTAAAATCAACGTGTTTTTGCTGCTTTTAGACACAGAATTAAGGTACAGTGTTCTCTTTTATTGCAGGACGTTTTTAGGGGTGGTTTCAGGCAATTTTAGGCCAAATTCTGACCAAAAAACTTCGTCGCAGTTGCTAGAGTCGCCAAGGGAATGAATGAAAGATGGCGGCAAATTTGACTTTCGGTAAAAACGCCCCTTGGAATAACTTCACGTGCGCACTTGGGGTTTCACCACCTGATTAATAAATAACTGGTTTTACGTTCTAAAAGTTTGAAACGTTGAAAACTGTCATTCAGAGCTAATTTGTGATGCAAAATTTGGACCAAATTTAGCTTTGAAACCTCCTTGCCTTGATGGCACCCAAGTGTTAGAAAAATTATTCAAATATATTATTATATTATATTATGTTATATTATATAGAGAGATGTTCGAAAACATAATATAGTTTTTTGTTTTTGAAGATTTTACAATGTATTTCAAAAATCCTATGTTTATAAAAATAACAATGTACCATAACCTTTGTTCTTTCTTGTTTTAGTTACTTGACAGTTTGACACTTGACAATTTGTGAAATTGTCTGCAAATTATTCTTTGTTTTACTAACAAATTCTTACATGAAAATTTGTCTTCTTTACTCCCCTCTAACAACCACTGAACCACAATGGTATATTCCATGTCCTTATTAGGAGATGGCCCCATCAAAGACACGGAAAAGAGCAGCAGATTCAACGACTGATGATGTCATCAAAGCCAAGTCCAAGCGAGGCCGTCCCAAAGCTTCTAATGCCTCAGAGTCACAGCCGAAAAGAAAGTTTGGTGAGTAGAATTTATATTGAAATTTAAAATGTGTATTTTTTTAATTTAAACCATTTTAAATGTACCAAAACCGCATGGTTATACCCTTTTGTTGTACTTAAACTTCAGCATTCACATTCACATATATATGGTGACAGGAGTCTAAATCCCTCCTATAGAATTGCAACATGATGTAACCCAACACCAGTTACCATGGTGAGAGACGGTCTGGTTCAGGTCAGAGGTCAGTGTATGGAGAAGAAGAGGAAACTGAGCAAAAGCAATGTTTTCCTTTGGTAAACATAAATATATGTATGTAGACCTCTGCTAACACGCTAGAGCGTCAATACTATATTTTCCTTGTTGTCTGTTATTCCAGAGGCCCAACCCTCCTGCCGTACAGTACAAGGGGTTGTCCTGGCCCTGGGTCAGGGGGACACCGGTCAGTTAGGTCTGGGGGAGGACGTCATGGAGAGGAAGAAGCCTGGTGTTGTGGCCATCGAGGACAAAGTCATAGACGTGTGTGCCGGAGGGATGCACACTGTCGCACTCACTGTCAAAGGAGAGGTGAGATTGTTTTGTTTCTTTGTTTGTTTGTTTTGCACATCTGGTAAACACAGTCTGGTTTAGGGCTCACATATAGAACTTGTTCTAGGATTGTTGATTAAGACTAAGAAAAAGTAATATATATGTACTTGTATCTGTAAGATAGTAGTAAATATGACAATGATCAAGCAACAGATAAAAAACCTTTGCACATGTAAGCAAGCTTTGTAGTGATGATACCCCAATGTACTTGGTTGCAGATGTCTAATAGAAAATTTTATGTCCTTGCCAGCAATCAACCCCAAAAGAGGCTATGGTTGGCGAGTTTATCCTAGGTTTGGTTGGAAAACTGGAAACATTTTTTCCCTAGACCTAACTGTTTGTACCATGTCTCCAGGTGTGGTCCTGGGGCTGTAATGACGAGGGAGCTTTGGGAAGAGACACATCAGAGGATGGTTCAGAGACTGTCCCCGGAAAGGTAGACCTGAGGGACAAGATCGCACAGCTGGGTACCGGGGACTCACACACCATCGCTCTCACTACAGATGGAAGAGTCTGGTGCTGGGGGACTTTCAGGGTAGGTTTAGCATTCAGTCATCTTTTATTTTGCTCTTTTTGTAATATACTGTAATTCACTTTTTGTTCACTGTAGCAAAAGTTCACGGTCTGAGAAAAATTGATATTTTCACGGAACTATATATTCACGGAGGTGACACTGACAGGTGCAGGAAAAAGAAGGTCCAGGAATTATTTGTTAACTGTAATGATAATTTCATAGTACAGAAGTGACAGTGAAAACAGTGAACATAACAGTACAGTGAAAAAAATCAGGAAGCATGTCGACAGAAGTACAGTAGCATGTCGACAGAACGTACTGCACCTGGGTAAAACCCATAATGTATTGTGCATAGCACTTTGGCAGAATGTCTCCTATAAGTATAACTCGATTAAAATCTGTTTTCTTCCAGGACAACAATGGTCAGTTTGGCTTGACCAGTGACGGCCGGACCCAGCCCAGACCGGTTGAGATCCCCATCCCCGCGCGTGTGCTGAAGATCTCGAGCGGCGTGAGTCACGTGGCCTGTCTAACGGAGGACGGGGACCTGTACACCTTCGGCTGCGGGGAGCAGGGCCAGCTGGGGAGAATAGCCGAGTGTTTTACGGTCCGAGGGGGCCGCAAGGGACTCAGTAAGGAGTTTTATTTTCACTAAAGCCACACCAATTTAATTTGTTGGTTCTTGGATTTTTTCAGAAAGAATGTGAAGCGACAGGGTGAAAAAAATGAAAATAAGAACAGGTCTAGGTATCCTATTATAGCCCCAAATGCTTCAATAGGAGCCATAAAGTCAACACAAAAGGCTGGGTTAATATTTAAACAATGAGGTGTAAATGAGTACCTAGCTTCGGCTAGGGACGTCCCTCGGATAGGACGTTGGGGAGAGCCACACCCCACACACGTTTAATAACCCACCACACTTAACTGAAAAGAGTAGGGGATCTTCCCGGTATGAGTGGATCAAACCTTACAGTCTGGTCACAGGTTTGACATCCTTATGAGGTGATGTTATGTCAATCCTTCCATAAATGTGGTAAATTTTTATAAACTATTCACGGATGTAACCCTTCCCCCATTCTGTTTTTCCAGGCCTCCTTGTTGAACCTGCCCTGGTCAGGATGAAGGGTAAGAGAGGATCAGGAAAAAGTCACATGAAGTTTTCGGATGTGTTCTGTGGAAACCACAACACGTTTGCCATCTCAGACGACCACGAGGATGTGTACGCCTTCGGGCTCAACAACTACTACCAAATGGGTTTGTTTGTTTATTTATTTATTTGAGCAGGAAATATATCGCCCTGAACTAAACCAGGATAGTGAGTGTGAGTGAGTGAAGAGCGATTTTCAATGTATCCTTGGGAGCAATCCCCAAACACAATAAAAATAATAACAATTTAACATAAAGTAATCGCTGAACGAACTTATGTACAATCAAATTAAAATAAGTTAACTTAATGGTAAGCACGAACTTAAGTAACTGAAGAATAAGTGGTCCAAAATAGGCATACATCAAATAATATCAAATCAATCATACAAAAATAAAATGAATAATAAGATAAGGCCAGGGTTGGATATCTAGTCTAAGGTCAACAAACATCTGTCCTCACTGACTGTACAGTAACCCAAAACATTTTGAGTGGCTCTGACGAGCCTTGTTCTGTGGTGAATTATGAAGTAAAGAAAAAATAACCCTGCTGCATTGAGCCACCCCATCATGTCTTGTATATATATAAATATTACTAATGCACTTGTCCCGTCTTTAGCACACACAAAATCAGTTGTCTTATGTTCCCTTCTCAGTTATCCTTGTTTCCCTTTGTTTTTTATGTACCGGGTCACAATTGTTATTAACAATGCGTAAAGGCTGCCAACAATAATCCTTCACTGTAGGGCTGGGCAGTAACAGAGAAGAAGAAGATAACGTTAAACCTTACCTGATGTTGATTTCCTTCCCCCAGGGTTGGATGGAGCCCAGGCGAGATACGTGCCTGAACATGTGGACTCCCTGTCAGACAAGAGGTGGGCTCAGATCGAGGGGGGGCAGCACCACACCGTGGCATTGTCACAGGATGGTAGGATTGGTTATTTATTTATTCATTTATTCTCATATATTAATTGAATATAAGGCAATAAGCACAGTTGCTTATATAACACCTTCTACGCAAAAACATACAACGAGAGTATAACACAATGACAAAATAAATACATGTACATAATTATTTAATAATTAAATAATACAAGTTGTTGATCAATTACGTGAAGCTACCAGTACAGTAAATAAAGGTTTGAACTACATTAAAAGCATTACAGTTTTGTAAGTGTGAAAGTGACGTGGACCCTTGCAGCAGTAAGGAACATAAAGAACTGTCATTGAGATGCTGTAGCTCAACTATGTTGGAAAGAGATAATAACTGAGTACTTCTTTGACTGGTTTAAAGTTTGCAGTACAGTAGTGTAAAAGGTACTTGTACTTTTGTAGTGTTCCTGTTGTTTCACTGTGCCAGCCGCATGTACATGTGCATTGTTGTGTTGTATCCCAGGAGAGGTGTATGTGATGGGTAGGGGTGAGTATGGCAGACTGGGACTAGGAGAAGATATGGACAAGGAAGTCACCAAACCCACCCAACTCACAACACTCAGTAACATCTGTGGTGTGGCCACAGGATCAGCAGTCTCCTTTGCTGTCAGTAAAAATGGTGAGTCCTTATTCACAATCTTCTTTCTGTGCCCCAGTAAATGGACTTTTCTTCTGCCTGCAAAAGTATTTGTTGCCAGAATAATCTCTACCTACCAACCCTAATTTTTTTCAGGACTGAAACAGGAAACACAACATTTTTCATTTTGTATGTATCCATTGTAATTAAAAAAAAATTTAAAAAAAACACAACATATTTTCCTAGGTCCAAGCTTTTCTGGAATCAATATTTTTACTGTGGGTTCACCAGTGCACCGGTATTTCTATAAGATCATGTACAACAATATTAATTCTGACATTTGGACATCAGACATAGTCAGGACATATATTCTTTGCTGTCTTCCAGTGACACCCACTGTATGTTTGTTTTCATTTTGTGACACTAGTTTTGAAACCTGACGAAATTCTTATTTTCCAGGTGAGGCGTATTCCTGGGGAATGGGGACCAACCTGCAGCTAGGCCTGAGCGATGACGATGATGTCTGGGTGCCCACAAAAATGTCTGGGAAACAGCTGGACAGCAGGGAGGTTGTCCTTGTGTCTGGGGGTGGACAGCACACCGTCATGCTGGCCAGAGACAAGGACAGCAACACAGCAGCTTAGCTATAGAATCTTATGTTGTTGGTAGCCAGGTTTTTAGCTATGTGGTGTCCAGGGTCTCTATTAGACACCCTGTACTGAAATTAATAAGAAATTGAACCCCCTACTTTTTGGTAGGACAGTACAATATAACAAAATGGACACCCAACAAAAAATCCTAGCTAAAAGCCTGTTGGAAGTTAACATGGTAACAGTTTAGACTTGCTGTCAGACACAAAATTATGTGAATTTTTTAAGCCATCTTTGAAGCCTTCCACAAGAAGATGGCATGTAACTAACCTTTGACCCTTTTCTGAATTGACCTTTGACCCTTTTCTGAATTCACCTTTGACCCTTTTCTGAATTTACCTTTGACCTGAGTCCATTAGGTCATGTGACAAGAATTTGGGTCAGTCTTTCTGAAGAAGGCTTCAAATGCAAATAATTTTGTGTTAGACAATAATGTTTAAACTGTTGTAACGTCAGCCAAGCAGGTCTACCAGGCTGTTTTTTTTTTAAATCCTGCCCTGTTTCGATATTTCGTATGGGACATCTTTGTATAAATAGTGAAAATCATAATTAGCATCATTAAGTAATGTACATTGTAGTGTATGTCAGCAGTAAGACTGTATACATGTAAGTGTGATTGTTATAGGAGTGAGAATTAGTATGTATAAAAAGGACACTAGCTGTCATTGGGAGACTGGTGAAGAGAAAACAGCCCAGAATTGTTGCCGCCAGACGTGTCGTAAGCAAGCTGCATCTTTACTGTAGCCTCTACCAGGCTTCAGAGGCAGCCAGAAAGTAAAAATTGAACAGATAGACAGATAACTTGGAAGGGAAATTGATCAGCTGAAGTAAAGGAGCATATTTAGTGGACTAACTCCCCTGGCATGTTGTCTGTCTACTAGTATTTGGGCAACTTCTATTCTTAACAGTAGCCTCAGAAGTCTGGTAAAGACTACTGTACTTGAATGTTAACTTAATAGTCATGATATACACTTAAATCTGGTGCAAGCGTGCCTTCAAATGACCTGTATACGACACAACATGCTGCTCCTCAAGATTTTCTGAATCTCTTAAAGATAAAGATGAGATTGGCATTGACTTATGGTAGATTTTATCGTAAAAGCGAAATCTTCCAAGGGCTCAAAACTGCCAGCTGCTGTTTAAGAAACAAGGGCATCTTTTTTTTTTAATCTTCGCTGTCCTTTATGTAATTCAAGAACAATGACCCCTACTGAATTCATACATAAGGACCTATTGCCAGAATGTTGTCATTTCTTTGGATGTTTAAGGAACTTTTTCTGCATAGAAACAACAAAGATATTGAATGCCCAATCACTCTAAAGCTAAAACAAACTTACAATGTACTTGTATTATTAGCCCTGCCTACTCTGTTAATGTAAAATATGTTAATGTAACATTAGTTTGATTGTATTATTGGCTCAACCTACTCTGTTAATGTTAGTTTGATTTTCTCTGTCCTACATGTACTTGTACAGCCTAGTTTGTGTGAATGAACAATACACATGCTGAAAATACTGAAAATACTCAAACCTCATCTTGTCACTTGTTTTATTTTTTTACCTATTTTAATTTCCATACCTTTTTTTAACACTGAAATAAACTCTTTTTGACAGATGGGATCTGATTAAACCATGCAGAATCTGCTTGGAGATTACCATGGGCCTGCAATGATAGTTTTAACTGCTAGGGGTCCCCACTGTCACGTAGGCTTAATCCTGGCCAATACTATACAGTAGCTAATGGCAACACTAAGGTGGCAGAGATGTGTAGACTTGCTAGAAATGGTATTGACTAGCTTGCTAGCATAATATTACAATATGTACCATTTCCAACAACCTATTCAAATATGGTAGGCCAATAGTTTAGTGACAAATGCGTTAAACTGTTCATGGTGTCTCGGATCAATCATGTTGATATTGACATCAATATATAGCTCAATAGCAGTCGGCATACGAAGAAGTTGTCGCCAAAAGATTTATGCCAAAATGACTTTTCTCCGACCTGAAGCGAACACAAGGCAAATGTTGTCCTGTCCCGCCGAAGGTAGCCTGGAAATCAGCTAGGCATCATCCATAAAAATTACTTGGTGTGGCCTTAGACCAATTGCCCTGGAAACGGTCTGGCTTCCAGGCTAACACGAATACTAGTATGAATGTTGACAATGCGCCAGGTTGTGACGCTAACTCGGAGCGCCATGTCACAAGACTGGCCCCGGAATGGAACCCGAAGTTCTCTCGCTGCTGGTTGTAGGATGGCCGGGTATTAAAAGATCGCGTTAAAAACTCTTCAAAACGCTGTATCAAAATCCCACCCGCCCCGGAGCCTGCACAGGAGGCTAAATACTAGTATGACTAGTATGAATGTTGACAATGCGCCAGGTTGTGACGCTAACTCGGTCCGCCATGTCACAAGACAGTCTAGGAGACATTTCCGGGCGAAAGTTGATAAGTGTCGTCTGGCCGCCTGGAGACGAGAAGAGCGGCAGACAGTAATCTCGTACCCAGACCACTCAGACCTTATCAAGGTTCCTTCCGGTTTGGGGAAGAATCTGTTATTCCGTTTTCTTGGCTCGCGTTATTGTTTAATCGGAAAGAACTGCCAAGAGCGGTTAGAGATTCTTTTCTTTATGAAGCAAGTCATTTCTACAGTAATTTCCAACACAACAAATTCGCATAGACTGTACAACTACATAGCCTCCGTAGCAGGCTTATAGAACTTGGGGGTTGGTGGTCTAGACTGTTTTCTGATTAGCCAACCAGGCCGGCTATGTTGTCTATATGCAATCAGAAAATAGCACATAAAAGCTCCCAAAGACCCTGAACCCCCCCCCCTTTTTGGCATGTTGCGGAGGCTAACAACAACAGTCTTTGTAAGGAATGTATTTTATTTTTTAAATGTAGCTACATTTGTATATAGCTTTTACTTTTTGGACTTATTTCTTTTCGCACTCTCACTGATTAGACAATGCATTTACTGCTATTTCCTACCACATTATTGTCATCATTTCATAGTTGACGCGTCTGAATAGCCCAAAACAAGCTACGAGAGGTGTCCCTTAATTTGTAACACCAGTAGATGGGTAAAACCAGTCAACAAAACGAAAAAAAAAACATTTTTTTCCGTCAGTGACATCGTATTTTTCCTCACAGATATGAACGTGTTGTTTCAACTAACTGCATAAAAAAATGACCAGAAAATTGACATGAAATCGCTTTTGGTGCCTTTAATACTTTCCACAGAAACTTTTAAAACGGTGTCAAATCGACCACCAAACTTTCTTTACTTTCATTCCCCTTAATAGAATGCCATATTGAATAAAGAGTTCGCTACAGTCAATGGTTCTTTATTTTATTACATTAAGTTGTGCCGAGTCTTCGCCAAGGTGAATTAGACCGTCTCTTATCTGATATTGGGAGAGAAGGTCTCCTAACTACAACTTAATCATGGCGCGGTTTTATATAAATTTGAAATTAACAGTAACAAACTACCGTTACGTTTAAATAGTCTGAACCAGGCCTCTTTGGGGGCCTGAAGAAAGTAGTAGAAGTCGTTTAAATTAGGGAGCCTTTCATTATACCATATTATGAAAGTACGGTATTTTATCATTTATTGTGCGGTCATACCTAGCCTCTACCAGGCTTCGGGAGGCGGCTGGAAAGAGTAGAAATCGTCCAAATAGAGAGATAACATGCCGAAGGAGTTGGTCCGCTAGAGAGAACTAGTACATTTTGCCGCACTCGAGCGGCAAACTGTACTCTCTAGCGGACCAACTCCTTCGGCATGTTATCT